CATTTTGGCCAGACTGGTCTTGAACTCCTGATCTCATGTTCCACCCGCCTTGGCCTCCCAAAGTGTTGGGATTATAGGTGTGAGCCACCGTGCCTGGCCAAGTTGAACATTCTTGATTTGAAAATCCGAAATCCTAAATGTACTGAAGACTGAAACTTTTTGAGCACTGCCATGATGCAACAAGTAGAAAATTCCACACATAAATACTTAACATAAGCTTTGTTTCATGTACCAGATTTAAAATGTTGTATAAAATTACCTTCAGGCTATGTGTATAAGGTATACATAAAACATATGAATTTCATGTTTAATGTGGGGTCCCATACCCAAGATATCTCATTATATATATGCAAATACTCCAAAATCCAAAATGTCAAACACTCTGGTCCTATGCATTTTGGATAAGAGGTACTCAACCTGTACAACTTTACACAAAATAATTTGCTTCTGATTTTCAAAGTCTCCTTCTCATTTGTAAAATGTTCCTTTGCCCTTTCTTTCCTTTTTTCTGAGACAGTGTCTAGCTCTGTTGAACAGGCTGGAGTGCAGTGGTGCGATCATCGCTCAATGCAGCCTCAACCTCCAGGGCTCAAGCCATCGTCCCTCCATGGCCTCCTTTGTTTCCAATACCATTTTCTTTCCTTTTCTTCCTCAGATTTGCTGAGTGTCTATTTATTGTTCTTTTCAAAGACCAGCGAATTACTATCAATTTCATTTTCTATTTCAATAACTTCTGCTTATTATTTTGGAGATGGAGTCTTGCTCTGTCACCCAGGCTGGAGTGCAAGGACACAATCCTGGCTCAATGCCAACCTCTGTCTCTTGGGTTCAAGCGAGTCTCCTGCCTCAGCCTCTCAGTAACCAGAATTACAGGTGTGCACCACCACAGCTGGGTAATATTTGTATTTTCAGTAGAAACTGGGTTTCACCTTGTTGGGGAGGCTGGTCTCGAACCCTTGACCTCAAGTGATTCACCTGCCTCAGCCTCCCAAAGTGCTGGGATTACATGCATAAGCCACTGTGCTAGGCCTCTGCTTTTATTTTTAATTCCTTCTATTTTTATTTTAGGAGATTGTACTATCTCTCTCTGCTTCTCTGTTACCTGTTTCTGTTTCCTCTTCTAATCCTTCCTGTCATGTGTGTATCCTTTAAGACATGTCATGTGCTGTCTTGTTTCCTCAGTAAGTTTATCTACTACATATTGTATAGTGAAAAAATAAAACCTTTACCATTATTATGTAAGTGGCTATAAACACTATATTAATTTGGAGTCAGTCATAGTGGGTTCCAATTCCTCAACTCCTACTTATGTGATCTTGGTCAAATCTGAGCTGTTTCTTCATCTGTAAAAATAAAAATAACAATACAGATTAAGTTGGATAGTATTTGCAAATCATTTATCATAGAAACTGTCCCACATTAGTAACTTGAGAAATGCCTCATATACAAAAGGCCTCAGTTGCCCCATTTCTTGTTTTGTTTTCTTGAGATGGAGTTTCACTTTTTTTAATAGTTTTTTTTTTTAAGATGGGTTTTCACCATGTTGGTCAGGTTGGTCTTGACCCCCCGACCTCAGGTGATTCGCCCGCCTTGGCCTCCAAAGTGCTTGGATTACAGGCGTGAGCCACCATGCCTGGCCAGAGTTTCACTCTTGTCACCCAGACTGGAGTGCAATTGTGCGATCTTGGCTCACTGCAACCTTTGCCTCCCTGGTTCAAGCAATTCTCCTGCCTCAGCCTTCTGAGCAGCTGGAATTACTAGCTCCTGCTACCATGCCTGGCTAATTTTTGTATTTTTAGTAGAGACGGGGTTTCATCATGTTGGCCAGGCTGGTCTTGAACTCCTGACCTTAGGTGATCCACCCGCCTTGGCCTCCCAAAGTGCTAGGATTACAGGCGTGAGCCACTGTGCCCGGCCCAGTTGCCCCATTTCTAAAGTGAGGGGATTAGGATGACTAATCCCAAGTTCACTTCCAACAGTGAAAAACTATCTTCAGCCTACTTGTTCACCTGCCTGACAGTCAATTGATCAACCCACCCACTCACCCACACAACAGTTACTAAGCCCTTCTCTTAAATGAAGTATTTTAGATGTCAGAAATGTCAAGATGATAAGATAAGAGTCCCTACCTTCCAGAAGCTCAGGGTCCTTGAGGGGTGAGAAAAAATTGTTAAACAGATAATTATAATACCATGTTATAAGTGATCTAAAAAAAGGTTGTGGGAATTCAGACACTTTGAGGAAATCCTGCAGCAAAATCCAAGATCTAGGTTGGATCTTAAGTCAGGTATTTACTACTTACTAGCAGTGTATCCTAAAGCAATTAACTTTTTTGTTTCTTATTTCTCCTTCTGTAAAGAGGAACAGGAATACTTATTCTGGCAGGTTATAAGAACTGACTCAAACTCATTCATGTTGGTGTGAAAAAAGAACAATAAAACTAATATAAAGCACTTAGTACAGTGCCAGGCTGATCACATGAACTCAATAAACGGCAATTAGTAATATTACAAAAAGTGATGGAAGTCAAAGACAATTTACTGTACTTCAAGAGAGTAGAGGTATCATCAGGATAATTTCCCAAAAGCGTTCACAGAACAAAACTGGGGGAAAGGCAGGGTAGTTTCCTGGTAAGAGGAACAGCACATGACAAGGCAGAGAGATATGATAAAGCATGGTATGTTTCCAGGACCAGTTCATTATTCCTGAAGGGAGAAGGCAATAGGGTGGAAAAACTGGGCTGAGAGGGGAATCCAAGTTGGTGATGCCCCTGGAGGGCAGAGAATTCTTACTAATTTCTGTATTTTCAGATGCTAGCACAAAACGTGACCCATATGTTTGCAATAAATAGTAAAAGAATTCATTCCCATTGTTAAGCAATGGGGTTGAAGAGAAATATTTAAGCAGTAAACACGCTACCGTGAAAGGAATCTCGGATTTGGAGTCAGGAGACCTGAAGCAGTCTTTTGACCAGTGACCTATGTTTTTATATTGGTTTTACAACTTACCTGCTGCCTGGCCTTAACGAAGTACCGATATATAGAGTCTCAAAATATGGGTAACACCTAACAAGCGATTATTTAAGATTGGCCCGCTAGAACTCAATAAAAACAGCGGTTGCAGCTGCTAAATTCTCTTTTAGGTCTTTTTCCATACTTGCGAAATGACAGGGTAACATATTTCCTTCCAACCACCACTGAGAAAGTATACTGGGTTTGCTCAAAGACAAAAAGGCCCCGCCCGACCCGCGCCACACAGGTCACCTACGCAGACTGCAGTTCTGGGGCCTCCACTTGTGTCGCTGAGCGATGGAGGGCGCGATCGATGACAGGCTACTCCAGAGACGGACCTAGATAGGCTCGGGTGAGACCGAGCCGAATTTCATCAAAAACCAGTTCATACCAGCAACCCATTTGTCCGGACTAAAAGATGAGAAAAACCTGGAGGAAAGGAAACCGGAAGTGACGTAGCCGTGAGTAACAGGAAATGACCTCAGAGCGTCGGAAGTTTACTGGTTTCTAAGGCGCCGACCCTGCAGCTTCTCCAGTCAAGCGGCTGGAGTCGGGAGGCTGGAAAGCGACTCTGAGAAGGTACCAGACCAAGGCGGCCGCCGCCACAGCGACTCGCGGGGAGTAGCAGACGAAGACGGCGGCCGTCGCACTAGCCACCACGTGTGGAGGATAAGCAGCCGACACGGCCATTCCCGCACCGAGTCAAGGGAAAGAGTTAGAGACAATCCGGGGAGAAAACATGAAGAGGGCGACCGCCGCTCCAGGGTCGCTACGGGAAGCCTAAGTGGAGACGCCGGCCTCTCCCACAGTGACTTGAGAAGCGTCTGTGAAGACCTCGGCCACCGCCGCAGCGTCTCTCGGGAGGGAGTTAGGGGAGATAGTGGCCACAGTCACAGCAGCTCTTTGGAGAGGGTTGGGGTAGACCGCGGCTTCTGCAGCAGCGACGTGAATTTTAGTGAAGTTGGAGGCCACCAAACTAGCGACTCCAGGGCAACAGCCAGAGAAGACCGTGGCCTCCGCCTCAGTGGTACTTGGGAGGGAGTCAGTGACGTCCGGGACCCGCGAACTAGTGACTTTGGGGAGACAGTCAGTGACAATAGCAGTCGCCGCCTCGGTGGCTCTTGGGAGGGAGGGAGTGTCGATGACGGCCACAGCCTTAGTTCTTGGGAGGCAGTAAGTGAAGACCTCGGCTACATAGCCAGCGACTCCTCCGGTGTGAGCGGCAGGGAAGACGCCAGCCGCCGCCTCGGTGGCTTTTGGGAGAGAGAAGGTGAAGACGAAGGTTTCCGCTGCAGCTCCTGGGAGAGAGCGGGAGAGGGCTGTGGGGCCAGTACTAGCGACGACGGAGAAGAGAGCCGCTGCCGCTGCTGTGGCTCGTGGGTGAGAGCAAGTGAAGACTGCCGCAGCAGCAGGGGACTGGACACAACTCCTCCCGAGAGTCGGAGGTGTTGCACCATGCCCGGGGTGGCCAATTCAGGCCCCTCCACTTCCTCTAGGGAGACTGCAGACCCCTGTGAGTCACACTGTTTCGTTGGCTCTCATCTCTGCCACATTCCTTTTCTCACTTCAGCCCGCAACAGCCTTAGCCCTTTCTGGCATTTCCTTTTATTAGTGGTCACTCCCCTTTTCCCTTTTAAATCTATTTTCAGGGTGAACCAAAGCTGTTCACCTCTCCCCCATTCTATCTCGTTTCAGCTTTCTTTCCTTTTTTTCCATCTGCACCATTCCTCCGAGTCTTTTTACCCAGATTGACATCAACTCTTGTTCACTCTTATGGACCCTTTTAAGTTCTTCGTTGACTTCCTTGCAGCATTTGACCCTGTGGAGATGACAAATTAGACTTACTTAGTTTTCTTCTTTCGCTCCATTGAGTGACCCTTTCCTTTGCTGTTTTCTTCTGCCCTCTTCTTAAATGCTGATTTTCTCCCTTGGTGATGCCATCATTGGTTCTCTTTTTCTTGTCATTTACTATGACTTCACTGCTCATGGCCCCCAAATCTGTGTTACTCATTCAGTCATCCAGTAAATATTTACTGCCTGCCTACTTTGTGTTCTGTGTTAGGGAACTATCAGTAAAGAAGACAGGTGTGTTCTTTAACTTCTAGTGAGGAAGAGAAATACTGAAAAACTAATGAGTAGTGAGATGAGCGTTATAAAGGATGGCAGAGTGCCACTGGTTCCAGTAGGGGGTGAGTATGGGTGTCAGAAAAAGCATTCTAATGCAGAGAGACACCTAACACTGAGACCTGAATTCCGTATCTCTCCTCTGAGCTGCAGACTTAAATATATGTCACCCTTCTGGAAATCTTCCTTGGGTACCTCAAGAGCAGCATGTCCCAAATGTAATTTTCTATCTATATATCCTCTCTCTGTCCTTCAGTGTTTGCCGTCTCAATTAATGGCACCACAGCACTGAGATGACAAAGCCAGACACCTTGGAGTTGTCTCATTACTTTTCCCTTATTTCACCTGCTGTATCTATTCCAGTTTAGTTCATTCGAATTTTATTAATATTTGTTAAATCTATCTCCTTTTCTGTTCCCACTGTTCAGGGACTCAGTTTTTCTGGTCTAGACTATTGTAAAACTGTATTCTTACATGATGTACCTACTCTCTAGTCTTGCCTTTTTTTTGCTGTGCATTCAATAAATTATCTTCGCTGAATCTAGCCTTGTAAACTCAGCCTGACAAATCTCAATCATTATAATTCTTCTGTTTAAAATTCCTAAGTGATTCTCCACTGTTCAAGTCCAAGTTTTTAGAAATAAGTTCCACCATTGTCTGTCTCTTACCTAGCTCTAGCCTCTTTTTCCCCTTAATGCTTTAGTAATAGGATTGTTTGTGTGTGTGTGTCTGTCTGTGTCTTTGTGTCTTTGTGTGTGTATGCCGTTTCTTGACCACATCCCACTGTTCAAGCTGTTTAGGAGGCCTTTCACTGCTCCCGCTTTATTTGGCAAACTCATGTTAATCCTTGAAGATTCTATCTTAGATATTTCTTTCCCCAGGAATCCTTCTCAGTTCCCCTTCCCTCCTGCCCTAGCTGAGATTGAAGTCTTCTGCGTTTTCTCAAGTTCCTACGACTGTTTCCATCATTGCTTTTACCACATTATTTTGTATTTTGTGTTTGTATCTTCTTTACTAATCTGTGAGTTCCTTGAGGGTGTCTTCATCTTTTTGTCCTTATGGTAGACACCAAACTAATGTTGAGTAGATGGGTGGGTGGATGAGTGAATGAATCAGGATGGAGTATGGTGAGAAAAAAGGCCATAAAATTAGATGGAGCCAAATTATGGGAGACCATAGAGGTCATTCTGAGAGTTTGGATTTTGTTTTGTGGAATAGCAGTGGACAACCAGTAACAGTTTGGCGTAGGGGCATGAAGTCATCAGGATAATTTGTATAAGGTGGATTAGAGGAGTGTCTCTGTGTAAAATAAGTAGAGTGGTTAGAACATCATTTGTAGGTCTAGCTGTGCTATTGTAAAGGAGAGGAAGGAAGGTCCAGCCTAGGGATTAACGTCATTGAACATTCATTCATTCATTCATTCATTCATTCATTCATTTTGAGATGGAGTCTTGCTCTGTTGCCAGGCTGGAGTGCAATGGCACGATCTCGGCTCACTGCAACTTCCTCCTCCGGGTTCAAGTGATTCTCCTGCCTCAATCTCCCGAGTAGCTGGGACTGCAGGTGTGCGCCACCACATCCAGCTAATTTTTGTATTTTTAGTAGAGATGGGGTTTCACCATGTTGGCCAGGATGGTCTTGATTTCTTGACTTCATGATCTGTCCACCTCAGCCTTCCAAAATGCTGAGATTACAGGTGTGAGCCACCGTGCCCAGCCTCATTGAACATTTATTAAAGGTGTGTGTGTGTGTATGTGTACATGTGCACACCTTACATATGCTCTCTTTCCCATTTGCCATATATCTTAATTCTTCTTCAAGCTCTTGCTCAAATGTTTCCTCCTCCTCTATGACTTGTTTTGTTTCTCCTTAATTTTACCTGTACTCTCTGAGGACATTGCTGTCAGGTTTTTATTTTCATTGTGTAGTTATCCAAATAGATTTTAATGTGTTGGTGGAAAAAAAGTATTAAATCCCTGTCCATTTTCTATCATGTTACCATAGTACCTGGCACATAGTAGATGTTCAGAAAGGCTTTTTGAGTACATTTATAGCATTTTGGTAGGAGCAAAGATATAAATAGAGTATATAAAAAGATATAGTAAGAGTAAGATATAATTCCAGTATAAAATATGATTTTTGCCCTCAAGAAATTAACATTCTGATTGTAGAGATAACATGTACATACATAAACAGTAGTACAAGGTTGCACAGATCATTTGCCAGGAGGGTTGGTGAGCTGTTTTCAAAACAGCTTCAGGTCAGGAATCATGCCTGTTTTGTTCAGAGAATGCTGCAATTGAACTGCTTACTCAGTCATCCTTCTCTAATAGCTGTCTGTTCATGCTTAGATGCCTTTATTGCCTCTGGTTCACATTGCTTATTAATTAAATTATAAAATATGAAGCACTAAGAGTAAATGAATGAAAAATTGTGGCCTACCATTCCTTTCTTAGCGTAATACATAAATTAGAAATATAAGAAAGATGTTGATAAAATATATCTGCATCTATGAGATGAGGCTCTGGTGAAGTCTTTTTCACTAGGGAGGCCTTCGTTATGGAGAACACGTTGGGCATATTTCAAAATAGGTACTTTCCCCTTCTCTCTGCCAAAGACATGCGTTCCTGGCGTTTCACAATGGTAACCTAGTGAGGTTTCTGTAGGTAAAAATCTCTGAAAGTGTAGTGGCTCCATAAGGAAGACTGTGGGCCCTAGAAGTTTCTCATTCTTTGGCTACTACGTACTCAACCTCTGGCAAGTCATCAAAATTACCATGGAAGTGCTTCTACCACTTTTTGGCTCCAGTGCTTCTGCTCCAGGTTTATATTTTTCTGTGTTTGTCTCTCCAGATTTGGGGGTGGCAGTTTGCCCTGAGACCCCAGTTTTCTGATGCGTCCAAGAAAAGTTGTTCTTTTTCAGTTTATTCCTTTTTCTCTATAAGGATGAGAGTATCGGCCGGGCGCGGTGGCTCACGCCTGTAATCTCAGCACTTTGGGAGGCCAAGGCGGGTGGATCACGAGGTCAAGAGATCGAGACCATCCTGGTCAACATGGTGAAACCCCGTCTCTACTAAAAATACAAAAAATTAGCTGGGCATGATGGCGTGTGCCTGTAATCCCAGCTACTCAAGAGGCTGAGGCCGGAGAATTGCCTGAACCCAGGAGGCGGAGGTTGCGGTGAGCCGAGATCGCGCCATTGCACTCCAGCCTGGGTAACAAGAGCGAAACTCCGTATCATCAGTGTTGGAACCAGAAGTCTGTTTAAGATATTAATGACAAACATCTTTGTAGTAAATTATTTGAAAATAAAGTGATTTTGTGCTTTCTATTGGACCATT